ACTGTGTTTTTTATGATACCAGGTATTTTCAAATTCAATAGTCCTGTAAAGCTCTAAAGGGCTAATTTGGGATCAAGAAGGGACCCATGCTTCTGAGTGCAAACACCCACATCCCCACACACTGCTTTGCTCCAAAACCAATGGGTTTTACCTGGAATGATTGTTCCTCCCTCTGTGACAGTATGAAGAGCTGCAGGCTACAGCCGGCAGGCACGGGGACGACCTCCGCAACACCAAGCAGGAGATCTCTGAGCTCAACCGTCACGTCCAGCGCCTGCGGTCTGAAATCGACGGCGTGAAGAAACAGGTAAAGGACGGTAGAATCGGTAGAAGTCTTTTAACACTTTCTGTGGCCTAATTTCATAGCGTGAAGTTAGATTTAATCCAGGCTGTGACCAGGCCCAGAATACAGATAAGGTCAGGGATCACTAAAATCACACCCCTACCTGTTAATCTAAACTCTTCTGCATCTAGACCACACCTCTTGTCTTCAGGGCAGAGAGAGAACCAGTCTACGTTCTGGATGGGGGATCTAACCTCTTTTTTTCCTCCCACAGTGTGTCAGTTTGCAGACAGCCATTGCGGATGCTGAGCAGCGCGGCGAGCTGGCCCTCAAGGATGCCAGGGCAAAACTGGCCGAGCTGGAAGATGCCCTGCAGAAGGCCAAGGCAGACCTGGCTCGGCAGCTCCGTGAGTACCAGGAGCTCATGAACGTCAAGCTGGCCCTGGACATCGAGATCGCCACCTACAGAAAGCTGCTGGAGGGAGAGGAGTGCAGGTAGGTGCAATTTTATGTCCTGGTTTCCAGATCTGCAATGGATTTGCAGACTCTTGTCAGCCTTAAAGGAGATCCCTGGGCTTCTCACCTTGAGAGACACCCAAAACCAGTTTAAAAGCAAGCAATCTCCTATGGAGATGACCCTTCTGGGAAAATAGTAGCCTTTCATGTAAACTTTCCAGCATTTACCAAAAATAATCTAAGGAAATTCTCCTGCATTTTCAGCCAGTTTGTGCCCATGGGCTCCTCTTGAATTGTGTCTTTCATTTTGCTCCCGAACAGGCTGTCTGGGGAAGGTGCCAGTGCAGTGAATATCTGTAAGTCCCTTTTAAAGATAGTTTTGTGACCTTTACATTTGTGTCTCTGCCACTCAGTGGCCAGTGTTCATGGATGTCTACGAAGATGGTGTTTTCCCTTTGCAGCTGTGACCAGAACGGGATATGGAAGTGGAAACTGTCTCACCCTCGGAGGCAGCAGCGGACTCGGTGTTGGTGGCGGGGTCTGTGCTGGAGGAACTGGCTTCAGCTCTGGAAGTGGACAAGGCATGGCTAGGTCATGTGTGGGAGGCGGAAGCAGCTCCAGCGTGAAATATGTCTCTACCACCTCTTCAACCAAAAGATGCTATTAAAGTGGAGACATCAGTACTGTTAGCTAGCGTGCGCTAGGTTTCGTTTTGTATTGCATGTAGTTCTTACTCTATTACTTGCAAAAGATTTAGAAGTCAAACTTGTCTGTCCCTATTTATACAAGTCGTGTCATGCTCCTGTTTGTTATTTTACTCCGAGCGCCTCATTTCCCAGTGTTTGTCTAATAAAAGCCACGCAGAATTCATTACGTTGCATTCTCTTTTAATTCCAAATACTTTACAGGATTGCAGGGAAAAGAGTGGCAGATACAGCAGAACAGAGTTGAAGGGAAACACAAGTCATACGCATAACAGTTGAGGCTTTTTCCTCCTTCGTCTACACTCATTGCAATCCCAAAGGCATCTCTCATATCAAGGAAGAAAGTGTTTTTCTCTTCCTGGTAGGAAGAGAAAGAGAAAACACCCTTCTATCTTCCTTTCTCCATTAAAGCATCTCAGCATTTTCACACCACCTCAATTGCACCCAAAACCCTGTAATCTTTCAAGATCTTATGTGATGAGTCATGTAGGGTTATAAGTCTAGTTTTGCTCAAGCAAGGACATAATTCAGATCACACTGTTCCATACACACACTAGCTGCAGGGGCTAATAAAATCCCATCAGTGGCATTGCCATAGTTAGAAATGGGAAAGATCAGTGACTTTGCACTCTTTGCACTCTTTTAGAAGAACAACGGAGTGCCCATTATCATCTTTATCGGAAGTGCCTCCAGGCAGACCATGCATTGCCTACAAAGCTGACAAGCACAGACTGAGACATCTAACAACAACTTGCTGGTTGCTCCTACCCCAGGACGCAAGCAGGTAGCACAGTCTTTTTTTTTTTTTTTTTAAACCAAAGCATGACAAAGGGGCAAAGGGGCATTCTCAGCATCTCTAGCTTCCCTCTTGTGGCATCTTCAGTCCCATCAGCTTTAAATGAAATGGCCATTGATACTGAGTTGAAAGCAAGCCGCAAGGGAACCCCTGGATCTTTTTTTCCCTGGTAATCACTGCTATGAAAAGTACAGGTTAGAAAATTTTGGTTAGTTTTATGAGCATGAAGGTTGTCAGGCCATTGCATTAGGTGAGTCTAGTGATTAACGGGTTGGGAAAGGCAGTCACGTGCCAGGCATACCAAACCAATTAGTTCAGTCAACATCATCCTCCACAGACAAGCCCATCCTATCAACGTGCATTTAATGACATGACCAGGTAAAGTCCACTTTAAATTTAAAACAATAACAACAATAACAACTCACATTAAAGCCCACTTCTTATAAGACGTGAGACAGGTCTTAAATAAACGACCTCAAATCCTGAATCACAGGCAGTTCCATCCGAACCTGAGGACAAACTTCTTTCCTGGGAGGGTGACAGAGCACTGGAACAGGTTGCCCAGAGAGGTAGTGGAGTCTCCTTCGCTAGAGATATTCAAAACCCGTCTGGATGCGATCCTGGGAAATAGGCTCTAGAGGACCCTGCTTGAGCAGGGAGGTTGGACTAGATGATCTCCAGAGGTCCCTTCCAACCTAAACCATTCCGTGATTCTGTAAAAAATGCCTTAAATTGAGTTGTTCTGGTAGATTTCAGGAGCAGTTCCTGGAGCAACAAAATAAAGTCCTGGAGACCAAAAGGAGCCTCTTGCAAGACCAGAAAATACTGAGAAATAACACTGAACCCATATTCGACACTTGCATCAACAACATGAGGAGACTGCTTGACAGCTATCTCTGCACAGGATGCTCTTGAAGATTACAGGATCAGGTGAGCAACAATACACACACACATACACAAGAAACCCACCTGTTCCTTCTTCACTCTGTTCTCTTCCTGGCTGAGTTAGAAGACCCAAGCCAACTCCAAAACGGTGAGACCTCAAAAAGAACTGATGTGACTCAGTCCCCATCACTTTGGCTGCTGCATACGCATGTCATCAGAAGCACTCGACCTGTTGAAAGACCACGGGCATTTATTTCCAGAGGCAGATAAACTTTTCAGATGTTTCAAAGAGATGCAGAAGGCCGGACCTTCACAGGAGTTCAGGAACAGGTTCTCAATAGCTCAATGTATCCTAATAAGACTAGGCTTTTCAAATGTTTTCAGTTCCCATGCAGTCGTTTTAATAAGGGCCAGGATGAGTCTTCTGAAACCTGAATCTTGACAGCAAGACTATCAAGTGCTCTGAACACTCACGTTTCCAATGGGTGGAGGTTCCTTTCCAGGAAAGGCATGCTGTCCAAAAACAAAGATTAATTTTAAGTGTGCTCTTAAGCGTCCCCTCACCTTCTTTTTTTTTTTTTTTTTTTAATAATAAAGCCCCTTAACATTGACACGTTAGGTGGTTTTAGCACTTCTGAAAGTCAGAACTTAACTTCCATCCCAGTGAAGTCACTGAGGTCTTGGCGGAGGGTTTCAGCACAGCTCATTAATTCTTTAGGCTGCCAGGAAGAGGTGTTCCCTCTCATCCACTCCTTGCATTTTGGAAAAACATCTATCAAGCTATAGAGTCTGCTACCATACCCACAAGGGATATACTGCTTAATGGACATGAATAAGTAAGGCATTTAAATTGTCAGTCTGGAACTAGAAAAACAAGAGATGAGAGTTAGGAGCAGGCTGCAATTCAAAACAAGGACACGTGCATTCTGCCAAAAACCTTGTGCTCTCCCTTTCTTGGGGATCACGTGTCTACTACTCTCTGCCGCTTCACCCACAATGCCTCCAGCCCAAAAGAAGCACTGGAGTAGAGGTGACTGCCTTGGGGCAGAGAAATTATCCTCCACACTCTACTTTCAGACTTATTTTTTATGATTCTCTTTACCCTCAGAAAGGGACATTAAGCAGAGAAAAATCCTGCCCTATACCACTTTGGGCACTTAAGACCTAAGGGTCTGCTGCAAGTCAGCCATTTGGACTGCCCTAATCCATTTTAGGATGAGAAAAATGACATTCCGGAAAATAATATCCAAAAAGATATTACTGATGGTACCAATGTCTACAGCTACCAGAAAGAGGTCACTGCTTCTGTCCCAGCTTCCTAGGAATTTTGCTTTTCCATTCTTTTTTTTTGTTATTTTTTAAACTTTATAGATTACAAAGGACTCTTCCTAATGTTTTGCTCTTTTAAGTCAAATAATAATCAATTTGGCATTTAGAAATTAGACATATGCTAAATTATTTTTCCTATTCTACATGGCTAAGAGCTTAGAGAGCTATGAATCTATACATAGGCTAGGACTCTACATTAAGCATGATTTTAAGGGTTGGATACTCCTAATGTGAAGAAATCTGAAGCTCTTCCCCCATGAAAGGGTCACACCAGTCTGGCATGTTTTATTAGCTGCACTGACTCTTTCCTTTGAACTCCCGTCTTTCATCTCCCCCATTTAATTCATTTCATTTGAGCTGGGCATCAGTCCATGGCTCGCGTTAGTTTTTATCCTTTCCCAAGACAAGGACTGCTCAGCGCTGCCGAGCAGGCAATCCCGATGGCAGCTCTTCTTGCCCCAGCCTTCACCCTCCCTCCCTCCCTGCCATCCCCAGCCCTCCTGAAGCCACCAGGGCAGCTGGCATCAGAGATCCCTGGCTCTGCTGACTAACTCAAGTGTGGCGGCAATGAGATCAGCTACGGCTCCACCTAGCCCTCCCGGCCTGAGAAAACCAACAGAGAGCACTAAGCTCCCATTCACACTGAAAACTTCTGGAAAGATAAAACATACCTTTAATGAGGGCCTGCAGCTTTTCTAGATGGCCTCTTTCCATCACCTAGCCCAAGGGTGCTGTCTTCGTATCACAGCTGGCAATATATATACAATGTACACTGATACAACAAGGACAGAGGTTGTGCTTGTCAGTTAGCTTTTCTTGCTGCTTCCTTCTAAGAGCTATGCATTGGTGGTAAATGCCTCCTGGGAACAGACTCTTTATTCTCAGCAAGCACCCCACAACGAATGCACGGAGCAGGGTTTCCCATAGGCCCATGGTGGATCGGAGTGGGTTGCAATATGTAAGCTGTAAAGGGATGCTCACCTCCCCTTCTCAACAGGTATGAAGAGAGTTCAACATGTGCAGGACTGCAGAGAATGTGTATGAGGTGCTCAAGAAGGTGAGGCACCAATAACAAAGAAAACACAGTTTTTAAAGGCAAAATGCATTTGAATGCAAATAACCCTTTTCATCCAGCAGTACCAAGCTGGGCAAAGCACTTAGCAAACATGTAGTCATTCCTACTGAAGGAGGAACACCCAGTTGTGCCAGTGCTGCCTTATGTCAGTCACTGGCAACAGCTCGCTCATCCAAAGCTCACATGAGTCCTGGTCTCCCAGGTGCCAGATCAAATCTGGGTCCGCCAGATCTTGTAGTCACCGCACTGGATGCTCTGCTACTTCTTCAGCATCATTCTGGGCAGCATCGTTACAGAAGGCAAAGTGCAGTACAAGGACATCACCAACTTGAGCCGAGCAGAGGCTCAGTCCTGGTAAGACTCCGGTCAGACCTTGTTGAGTCAGAGCAAGGTCAGGATGTGAAAATTAATCAAGTGAACCGGGAAATTTTTGTCTAGCCTTTTCCAACAAGCCATTTTATACCAGAAAGTGCAAGCAGACTGGAGACAGGATACTGAATTGGATACTACTTCATTGTGAGTTTTTCTGACATATTAAAAATACCATTTTGAGAAGTTAAGCAGACCTTAACTTTCTTTACGATGGGACAGAGACAAAGAGAGATAGAGGGAAGACTGTAATATACTAAAGCTCATGAGCAAGAGTTTGGACTAAGCGTAGAAAGAGGCAGAAGACTCAGCCTAGAGAGAATCAGAGCAAGGACATTCTCAGCAATTGGCTGTGGTGGAGAAACATAGGGAAAAGACTGAGCAATGCCTGCAACAGGAGGGGGAAGGGCCTAAAAACTCCACGATCAATGAGCTTTAGGAGGTCTCCATCCCATAACATCGTTGCTTCACCAGAGGATAACATGAACAAAGTCAAAACATGCTCATATTCACCAAGTACTCACTCATACTCACTTGCTATTCTACAGCAGGTGCAGCTCAATGCACTGCAAGCAAAACTCAACCCAGGCTAGGTGGCAGCTGGACATTCATTAGTGTGTGGTTTGAGGCCTTAGTGTTGGCTAAACCTTTAGCCATGGTTGTTCCCTTAGAAAGGAGTATCACCCTTTGGGTTAGATCTCTGCAAAGCGTAAATGCTATTTTGGCTTCATCAGTTGGGCTGTGCCATTTTGCGTCATTGGGGATGAATCCACAAAATTACCAGGAGCAGAACGGGTGCCCTATCCTACGCAGTCACAGGTGTTATTTCAGTTCCTGTCCTTCCTGTCAAGAGACTCATCACTTCATTTAGATATTAAACACCTCAGACCATTCAGTTATAGAATGTCACCATCACTGGTGCCAGATCGTTGCTTGAAGCCATCCTAAACAACAAGCTCTTCCTTCTCTCTCCTCTTGCTCTCCCAGACTGGCTGGAGAAGAGAATAGCACAGTGAATATTTGTAAGTAACCTAGCTCTTAAGCAGTAGACTGAGTATTCATTGAGTTATTCCTTAAAATGTAACTGGAACTGATGATAACGCAGTACAAAGGAGTCATGCTGCTAGTAGTTATCACCACAAAAATACAGTATACTTAAGGATTTGAAATATGGACAGCGGCTGACTACCAAGGAAAACCCTCAGCACGTGAAACCAAAGACTGAAATTCCCTTATACTGTTCTCTCCTGTGGCTTCTCATCACAGCTGTGGTCTAATCTGGACACAGCTATGGAGGCGGGAACACACTGGGGCTGGGCTTCAGCAGCAGGCTCAGTGCGGGAGGAAGCAGTACCAGCTCCAGCAGTGGGAGACGCCTGGCCAGGGGATTCAGCTCAGGAGTGGAAAGCAGCTCAAGCATGAGGTCTGTATTGGAAATCACAATCAAAAAGAGCTTCCAGAGCTACGTCCCAGCAGAGCCCAACTCAGCAGAGCAGAAGAGGTCGAGTACCACCTCCTACTGGCAGCACAAAGCCTACTAAACACCATTCAAAGAGTTCTGCTATCTCATTCCCATTAAGGGAAAACACATTCCCTGTGCTATTCACCGGCTTGGGAGAAACACCTCTTCGAGTCTACTTTATTTCTCTGCACAAAGCCTCATCCAGCCAAGGAGCAGCCCAGCACTGCTTGTCAATGAGTAATCAGCATTCCCATTAACAGGTGCAGGCATCAAAGCTCAGCTTATGGATTCCCAGGGCTCCCTTTTGCTTCAGTGCCCTGGTGTAAAGCAGGAATAGATACAGCACTTGGATTTACACTAGCATACATGAAAGCAGAACCTGTCCCTTCATCTGCTTTTGGTAGGAACCAGCAGGTACGTCAAGAAGATCATCTTGTGTGCTCCCTCCCCATTGACCCTGCTCCCTGCTGTTGCAATTGCTTTCCCCGTGGGTTCAAAGAATGGGAAAGTGTCTTTCAGTAAGAGGCAGTTGCTCTATTTCCCAGTTCCTCTTGCACTGCTCTCATTTCTCTGTCTACTCCAGGGCTTTCTAGCTTTACCCACGTCCAACAACACAACCTTCATTTTCCAGAGGTGAAATGGCTTGGTTGTCTATAACATCAAGCTCCTCACACACCCGGTATGTATAACTCAAGCCAAAAAGAGCGCATTATCTACAGGTTGCTAGCCCTTGTCTCAGCAGCAAACCACTCTCCTCTCTACCAGCCAGAGCGGGCTCAAAGTAGAGACAGTAATAGCACACGAATTAAAAAGATAGGAAGAACAAAAAGGAGGAACAGCAGGCTTCGGTAACAAATCTTACATAACCTGAAAAAACACCTCTATTTGAGTGCCTTCGTTCTCAGCTTGTTTTTTAAAAGAGGGGGAAAGGAGCAAAAGAAGACTGGAAAATTATGCGTCCAAATATAACTAAGCCCATTTCCTCTCATCTTCTGCTCCTGCTGAACTGTTTGAATTTTATTAAACCTCTTCAGTAAACTGCATTCAACCTAACTGTGCACAATGCGGGTTTTATGTGCCATTATGAAATCCACCTAAAAGTACAGTTTTAAAACAAGTGTATTAGAAACACTTTGCCAGAGAGGGGCCAAAGAACAGGAATACCCAAGTGCTTTGGGAGGTTTTCCAAGCCAAACAGAGCCAGACCAGAAGGTGGGGCTGGTTTTGCCTGGTCATGAACATCTACGTCAGAGCCAGTCCAAGGACATAAGCAGATACTTTTGGGTCAAATGAATCGTTCTCCAGTAACACCTCCCTTTCCTCCAAGGGACCAAAAGGGCTCTAGGCAGTTGGCTGAAGATGTCTGCATCACAGGAGTACTCTATAAGATGCTTCAAAGTCAGAAAAGATGGATCCCACGCATACGAGCTAAACTTCTGGAAAGGCTAGTTCCAGATCTGCAGCTTGTGCTATGTACTAACATTGCTGCATGCTACCACAGCCAGAGCTTTGCCTTCATACGGCTACACTGGCCCGGGAAACATAGGTAAACCAAAGCCTCTGTTCTTCATTCCCACTGCCCCAGAACAAAGGGGCATCCCTTTGTCTCCATCCCTTCTCCTGACGGGCCACGAGCTAAACGGGGATGCTTCCAAGCTGAGGCTTCTGTTGGGTCAGCAGATCGAAGTCAGGCTGGCTCAGACAAGTTGGCAGTACCATGCTCTGCTCAGGTCTGTAATTACAAACCCAAGCGAGAGGAGTAGCCAACATCACTTCTTCCATTTCACGGTGGATGCCAACTATCACATGTAGCAGCTGTTTACCAGCATCCAGGGCCCAATCATGAAAGATGATGAGCTCTCTGAAGTCCTTTTAGGCTGACTCCAAAGAAGTGCTTAGCACACACAACTCCCACACAGCTTTATCCTAAAACGTTGCCCGGCTAAATGAAGCAGGACAGCTTTCAGGCTTGCATGCATGAACTTCTCTCTGATCCTCTTCATGGCACAGAACATGTTCTCAGACCATGGTGAATGCAAGTAAATCAGATAAAAGCAAATGCATTTTTAGGAGAGGACTGAGTTTTTCAGAACGAGGCCCTCAGCATTATTCCACTGGAGGCAAAAGAATTAAGAGGGTTCCCACCCATGACACACAGCCCTCTCAATAGTTCAAAGAGAGGACGGAAAGTCCACTTGTTTCATTTTCTAATGAAACAGTGGAAAGATGTATCTGTCTGTCTTGTGCCGTTGCCACTCTGAATCCACTTCCCTTGCTGGAAGAATAAAAAACAAAAAACTGAAATTACATTCACTGGGATTTTCCAGACAACTCCACCAGAAAAGAATGGCCCAGCGCAATTCTCCTTTAAGCTATACCCCACACAGGACAATTCTCTTCAGTGCTGCAAGAAAGAAGAACGGTGTCAATCTAACTGACAGATGTCAGCCACACTTCCCCAAAGCTAAGGAAAACAACGTACTCTTCTTCAGGGCATGCAGTGGAGGAGAAAAACACATTGATAATTTGAGAGAGAGAGCAGTAATTAGACAGAATTTCTCCTGGCAGAATCAGTTTCCTCACTCCACCATCACCTTGACCAATTCAACCTTTGCCTTTGGTTCCCCCAGCAGGTGCAAAGATCCAATCTGAAAAAAATCTTTAATCCACTGCTTTCTCCTGCTCTCATACTCCTTTTCACTGTACCTGCTGTCTGCCTGTAGTTTCCAGTCAAAGCCCTGGCACCCAGGGATATGTTTACACGGGTCTGTCTCCAGGCCCAAGGGAAGTAAGAGACTCTTCTCCTGAGGTTAACAAAATTACAGAGGTTGAACAAAAGAAAGAAAAGTGTGAATAATAATAAGAATAAGCCTCACAAAAGGAGCAACTCTGGCTAAAGGCTAATGTAACACTGATCAGAATCAGACCAGGTGTTTGAATTGCTGGGATATTCCCAACAGCTTAACTCAGATTCTTTATTTCTCCACTTGTAAAGCAAAGCAGCGCTCCTTCCCTCTCTTGCAATGCCTTGCAAGCATCAAAAGATTGGTTCTGCTTCCCTCTATGTTTACTATAAAAAAGGGAGGCCTGCAAATGCAGTTTTTATGAGACTATGGATTTCTTTCCATTCAAATTAGAAATACAGCCTATAACTGAATATGCTAGATATGCATTTAAGAGTAGCTCAAGTCACTCTTCAGCAAAATAGTCAAGTGGGACTATTTCCAAACACTCCAAGCTCATAAACATCTTTAAAAATCATCATTTTGGACTGGTTGTGCAGCCAAAGCCCATTTGCCTGGGAGATAAAAAGGTAAAAGCTCTGGTTCCCATTCCAGAGGGTTTCTCGCTGGACCAGCTCACATCCTCTGCCTCCTGCTCAGGCATCAGCTTCTCCCTCTGCCTTTGTTCCCGTTCAAGTGGGTTGCGATGTCTTGCCGATCCCACCACGTCCACTCTGGAGCCAGGGGCCTGAAGAGTTTCAGTTCTTGCTCTGCTGTGATCCCAAGGAACATGAAGAGATGCACCGCCAGCTCCGTTTTGTGCTGGGGAGGTGGTGCTGCGGGATATCGAGGGCTGGGATGCTTCAGCAGCAGGAGCCTCAGCAGCAACGCAGCCTGCAACCCCAGGATGGTGATCAGTTTTAGCTCAGCCTGGTCATTTTGACTGATTGTGTACCCCAGCTAGTCAAAATCTTGTCTTCTTTTCTGTGCCCAATGATCATTTCTTGTGCCTAAGAGGATAAGAGAGGGAAATAATTTAACAACACGGTAAGGTTAGATCCATGAAACAGCAGCTCTAAGAGTTTGTAATCCCACTTCGTGCTGGTGTTAAGCAGAATGCTCTTTGATTTCATAAACCATTCTCTCACACGCTTCAGGACGTGGATTGTGCCTGCGTGAACCAAGCTGAGCTGGAAACCAAGGTGGAGTCCCTCAGCCCAGAGATCAACTTCCTAAGGAGCCTGTGTGAGACAGTAATGGCTTTTCCTTTTCCTTTCCCTTCACTCCAGGCCTCTTTAGAGGGCTTTATGGAGTTAGACTCCCATGGCCCATCGCTTAACTTCACAGAGATTTTCGGTGTTTCTTGCCCTCTGTGTATATTGGTTAAACTACAGATTTCAAATGAGTTACTCTTGCATTGCACAGGCAAGATCCTAAGGAATCTGCTTCAATGTGAATGGTAAAGGTAGACTCCAGAGATTAAATCAGAAATCTTTTTTGGGGTTTCTGCAGTGAGGCTGAAGTTACAATACCCAGAGAACATGTTTTCTTGTCTCCACACAGTCAAAATGAGCAGGGAAAGCACCTGTGGCACAGACTGACAATTTTGCTGTCACCCCTAGGAAATGGCTCATCTCCAAGCATCCATTTCAGACACCTCTGTTATTGTGCAAATGGACAACAGCTGAGGCCTGGACATGGATGATATCATCGCTGATGTCAAAGCTCAATATGAAGACATTGCCAAAAGGAGCCAGGCTGATGCAGAGTCCTGCAAGCAAGGTGAGTCATAATGGACACTTAGAAAAACACTTCCCATTTTACGCCACACTTCCGCGAAGGACCTGCTTCTTCAAATTTCCTTATTTTGGTTGAATAGTCTGCTTTCTTAGCTATTTGTTGTGCTTTCCCAATGTGTGATATATCCCTCTCCTATTGTCTGCACACACAGAGCTGCTACAGTCTAAATGAGTCATTCCTTTCCCCCTAGCAACATAGGTTTGTCCCTTAAAGCTCAAAATCCAGGACTGAGGACCCAGAATCAGACAGCAGGTTTCACTGCTGACTCATCTCCTTGATCTGATTATTTATTTTCATTGCATTTTCTCTCTCCTCAGTATGAGGAACTGAGAGAAATTGCTGGCAAACATGACAACACATGCGTAACACAAAGAACGAAATTATGGAGCTGAATCGGGTGATTCAGAGACTGAATGGGGAACTCGAAAACACCAAAACGCAGGTAAGGATGCCTCAGTGACAATAACGTATCAATTCCAGTTCCCAGGCTATGGGACTCCAAAACTCTACTATAGCAAAGGAACAACAAAGCCAGTTTTGATGAAATACATGTCAGCTGCTCAACTCTGTTGCTGCTAATAGAGAGTATGGACAGAGGACAACGGTCTATTACTACTAATAACTTTTACTCCTTTACTACTGTCAGAAGAGAGTTGTAGTGAGAAGACAACACATCCACCAAAGCTAGACAGAGAGAAACATCCTAGATTTAGTGGTTTACCTATAGAGTACACATATGACAAAGTGCAGATGGATGAATACACAAATAGGCAGATTCAACAGCTCTGAACTATTCAAAGTACACGCAAATAAGTGGCAATAATGAACACCTACCTCCAGAGATGCAAACTGGAAAGAGCCATTGCTGAAGCAGAGGAGCATGGAGAAGTAGCCATCAAGGACGCAAAGTGCAAACTCTCCGAGCTGGAGGCAGCTCTGCAGAAGGCGAAACAGGACATGGCCTGCCAGCTCCGCGAGTACCAGGAGCTCATGAACATCAAGATGGCCCTGGACATCGAGATAGCTACCTAGATAGCTACCTACAGGAAGCTGCAGGAGGGAGAGGAAAGCAGGTGGCTGCTAGCACAACCCTGCAAAATACCTGCAAAGAAGAAACACTAATATGTTTAACACCATCACCTGCCTTCACAGGCTGCCTGATAAGCCATCATCTCTTTAATTGCAACAAATCCTACTGAGGACCAGTGTCCTTGGAGGTGACACTTTCCAAAACACTTGCAGGATTTAGGAGCCCAAATGTCTTACAAAGTCAAGAGCTCCTAATGAACTTAGGCAGTTAGCTTTTCTCCCATGTGGAAGATCTGGCACGAATAGGGATGATGCCTTGTGTCAGGTCTTATCAAGGCAAAGACCCAGTCAAGCTTCCTAACCACAATCATGCCTGGCCACCTTTGCCTCCCCAGCCAAAATAACTGGGTACCTATTCACATGTGGGCTAATTGAGGGGACGGAGGGAAGGCCTCTGGCTAGGACTTGCTCACACTCGCACTCATGGAGCCTAAGTGAAACGTTTTCCTAGCACCACACTGGACTCGGGAAGATGTCCTCACAGGTGTGAGCTGAGCAGCTGAGTCAGGGTATGTCCAAACCACTCCCTGGGCCTACCAGCAGCTTTCTGCATCCTAAGAGCTCCCAATTATAGGCCAGTTATATAGGGACAACACAGTAAACATAGATTTCGGTTCTTACATATCTTCATTTTCCCCATCCCCCTAGGTTGTACGTAGACAGTGGTTGCCCTGTGAATGTTTGTAAGTATCAGACACGTTCCTATTTTTACCAGTCCTGTGGGATCTGTCCAGTCTGATGGAAACCCTAAGCTGAAATGCGTCCTTTGCAGCAGTGTGCCGATCTCAGGGAGGAATCACATGCGATGCTGACCCATGCTTTGGTGGCAGCTAGTCTTCCAGCAGCAGAACCCTATTCAGAAGCAGAGGTCTAGTGACTGGAGGAGGTGTCTGCAACAAAAGTGTTGTCACTGGCTCTGGAGACACCTGCGCTCCTTGTACCTCCATGGGAGGATACAGTGGCGTGAGCAGGAAGAGTTCCAATATCAAATTCACATCTGCTATAACCTCCTAGAGAGTGAAATATTAAACATAAGCGTTTGAAAGGAGGGTCCTCACTTCACCACCTGGTAACAGCAGCAGCTTGCTAGCAGCAAATGAAGAAAACACTGCTGTGTTTTCCCAGCCTAGTCTGCATTGCTTATTGCCTGAAACATTCATTACTGTTATGAGACCTGTTCTTTTCGTTTCCTTGTGCTGTAATTTAGAGTCCACCATCAGGTTGCGAACAGGCTGATCCATCAAACTGGTCCCAAGGACTCAAAACGCCTCTGTGATTGTGTTCAAGGGACCCAGACCCAACCTTAAACTCACGAGACCGACCCCAATTGCTTTTCCAAACCTCCAATGCATAGCACATCAAACTGCTAGTGTTAAGTACATTTACCCTATTTGAGATTTGGGAACAAAAAGAGGAAAAAGTGATTTACTTCTAATGCCTCTGTGTATTTTTGCCAGTGATACTTGTCAATGGCTTTTATCCTAGTGTTAGTCTTGCATCTCCAATAAACTGACAGAGCAACTCACTCACCTTTGTGTGATGCCTTCATTTGGGGAGAAGGAGGATTAATTCTTGTCCCTGCTCCAAGATCTCATGGCCAGTTGCCAGCGCTTAGAGGGCTTTAAACCAGGCATGTGCCAAGCCCGGATGTTCATCCCCTGGCAAAACCCTCCCAGCACTTCTTTCCTTACCCAAGGACCACACCTTGGCAATCTCCCATAACCACCGATGCTTCTATTCTCCACGTGTGGGTCCAACTGGGCAACGAGGGGTTATAAGCCTTTCCCCAGAGCACCCTCAATGAAAGACACAGGTCTCTCCTTCCTCACACCTGAACACAAGAAGCAGGATTCATTTCACCCAGTGCTGAGGGTCTGCAACACTGATGGCTGCTGGCCAGGCTCGAGAAAGAGGCACTTGTTGAGTTAGATGTCCTCATTAGGACAGGGTGGAACCCCAAACGATTTTTCTCCCTGCAGGAAGTCCCTAAAATAAAAGCCCTTCTAGAGGCCACAGGTAGCAGGTCATATAAAGAACCGAAACTTTTCATTCCTATCAGATTCCTAAGTCCTCTTAACATCACTGAATACCCCAAGTTGCCTGGGAACTCCTCAAGGCCAGACCCCTTGTGTTCTCATTGTTCCCAGGCCTGGTTGCATATGAGTTCCCTTTCCCCTGCCTCAGTTTCCCTAAAGGAGCAGGGAATAACAGAACTTATCTCCCTTGTAAAACCCTCCAACGTCTGTGGAGCCTGCATGGCTGATGACCTCAGTCCTGTTATTGCAACAGCACACGTCTACATCACATCGCGGTGTTTGCAGCTAGCAGTAACGCCACCCTGCTGTGCCGCAGGAGTAGGCAGACAACGCAAAGGAGGGAGCGGCCATGTCTTACAACGCAGCCCAGACTGAAAGTTAAGGGGCGGTCCACCTGGAACTCACTGTTCAGCTAGGCCATTTTTCTGCAGATAAAGAATCAGGGCAGCTCACTAAAGCTCCAACTTCCCCTAAAACCTTTGAGCCATCATTCCTGACTTCTCCGTGAACCACATGAGCTTCATGAGGTCACTCCAATGTCCAGACTAGGCACATTCCTGGCCTTGCAGCCCCAGACCAACACAAACACCCTCTGTTTGCGCATGATTTTACACATGTTCCAGATGCTCACCTCCCTTCTTAATCACCGGGGCAAAACAGGGAGGCCAAAAATATATTGCTTTGTGGGCTATTTTATGGCTTTTTACTATGTTTGACTGGCACTTCCCTCTTCATTACATGGGCAAGTAGCCCAAGCTCATAAACCACCGGCAGTTGCTACCCATCATGCAACCTCCCTGTACATGTGCATCTGTGAACGCCAAGCCCAGCTTCCTACCCAGACCTATGGGACAATCTGTGCTATGGAAAAATCAAAGACTGCCTCTGAGGCCTGCTTGCTCCCATCTCGCAAGCCTTCTTTTTCTGTTCTGTTCTCTTCAGCAGTGACATCTTGCTCACCCAGCTTGCAAAGTTCAGCTTCTGCCATTCGAACAAGCAGGGGGAGGCCAAGGCTGGTACCCGAGAGACTTAGCACAAGTGAGAAGAGCTGGATTACGGCTCTCCTGCAGAAGAGGGGTGCTAGCACTGAGGGCAGCTCACACACAGCTGCTTAGCAATGCTAATATTGATAATGGCTCTCATGGCAGAGCGGTCCATAACTGGCTGGTGCTGGGACTCTCTGGGTCACTGTGCCTCCTTTATCTGGATGTTCCAAAATCTTACCTGTCATAAAGCTGCTTCTGAAGCTGAATTTTTCTCCTGTATCCAACCTGAAGAAATTGCAGTCAGTGAGACTGAGTAGACCTGTTTCCATGCTGATTCAGGGGACACTTTTGCCTTCATAACATCAGCACTGCCTCTGAAGTACAGCTATTAAATTACAACCCGCTCTGCTTACAGCCCCAGATCGAGCCAGAATCAGATCCAAGAAATCTGCAGAAAGCACATGCTTCACCTGCCTCCGTGGATCAGCACACATACACAGTGGAGCTCCCTGAAGCAGCTATGAAAGCAGAGCGAGGTGCATGGATTCTCCTCTCCCAGCACCACCCTGTGCAGCGTATGCTGTTCTGTTAATGTGAAAAAGCTGCAGCTCTGTGAATTGCACATGGCCCAACAAGGATTCAAGCAGCAGTGACAAAGCCCTGCTAGTCTCCTCTGGTTAAGAGAGGACAGCAACACCTCTGTAAATAGCATGGAGCCACACGAATGACAGCAAACAGCGGAGTCTCCTGCCAAAAATGTCTGGGCAAAGTCTTTCTTTGAGCTCTTTGTCTCTATTAACTTCAGGGGATTTTTTTTTCATTTTGTTTGTTTGACTGGGACATAAAAGGCAGGAGCTGGGTGTGCCAGGCTATCGCTAACACGGCTCTCCGCTGGGCACATCAGATGCCTCCCCTCCCTGTCGGTATCTCCGTGCCTGTAGTAAAGCTACACACAGGCTCAGCCCTGCATTGCTGAACCATGTTGGATACTGGAGTGATGGCTTCCAGGCAGCACCTGGGTCTGCTGCAGGTGAAGTATCTTAGACACCCTGACAGCCTCACAACCTGGAGGAAAAGGCTTCTCCCAGTGACCACAAAATCTCCACCTGGCCACTCCTGCTGGGGCAATACCTTCAGTGACGGTAGCTCCAGCAAGGGCTCATCTGGGGTCTGCCCCGTGGCCGTCCCTCCCGTGGCCCTGCGAGGGAGGCGGCAGCAAGCAGCCGAGATTGCTGCTTGGGCTAACCATCCCCCAAAGCACAAACCAACCCAGGGCGAGCCCTTCTCACACCCAGGCTCCCCCAAAAAGAAGCAGGAACGAGCTGTCCTTATGCAGCAAGGTCCAGATTCACCTCTTCTAGCTTTGGCCATCTGCAGGTGGCAGGTGTCTACTTCAATGTCTCGCTCCCCTCCGTTCAGAGGAGGGAGAGGGTGCCTCAGACAGGAATTTGGCTCAGCTCGTTTCAGCCCTGATTAGGGGCCAGGCTGAAGTTAAGCGCTGAAATAAACTGGTTCCATCAGCCCACTGTGCAGACAGAGACTTGCTGCCAAAACAGGCAGGTAGAATTCCCCGAGAAGGTGAAAAACTGAATGAAGCAAATCCCACAGCTCCTAAATCCTGCTCTGTGGCTCTGACCATGGTGGGGCCACTGCTCCAGGGGACACACCAGGATCACAGAGCAGACTGGCAACACAGGGAAGATGATAATGTCCAATGTTTATCCAAGCTCCTGAGCATCCAGGGACAAAGAGCAGCACAGACAAGGAACTCAGCTGGGACCAAAGCAGCATGCAATAGGGTATCTTTATTAACGGCCTTGTGACAAACTCTCAGACCAAAAGGCAGAAAACTTCAACTAGAGATACGATGCTAGGATACACGGCTGAGCATGCAATACAGCAGTTCTGTGCAGTTTCTTCGAGTTAATTATTTACTATTTCTTTCCTCCTGCCGCAGTTAAAACCTGTTTCCCTGGCATGTTTAAGTTGAAGACACATTTTGGTAGGAACAAGCAGTCACAGGATGGAGAATGTTATCTCCCATTTCAGTGTTACCTATGATTTTAAGCAATTCTATATCCCTTAAACTTTAGGCTTCTTTTAGGGAGAGGGAATGACTGGGGGAACTTGTTTATGAGTTATCTTGTTATAAAGAGCCTGAAAGTAAATCTGTCTGCACTGTCTTCAGTAAGAAATTAGCTTCATTCAGAGGAGATTTGTTGAATTCCATTTCTGGGCCAATTTCCAAAGAAAATAAGGCAAAATCCAAAACAATTCCACTGTTTTCTTCCTGGTATATTTTAAGAAAACAAATCCAGACTGAAATCTTAACAAGGGCTGGCATTTTCCGAGGATCCCAAGGGTATAAGGTATTCCAAATCACACTTAGAGGGAGATAATCTTCTGGTCTCTTTTGCAAAACCACAGCAGAAATGTGGAAAAGTTTGCCATTCAAATGATTGCTTTGCCCTTCAAAGGGTGAAATTCAGCCCTGAGCAGGGGGTACCAAACACACAAGTAACATATAAGCATTATCCCACCTGCTTCGCTGGGGAAATTTCACCCTACAGGCTTGAACCTGCTCTCAGTGGAATGGTTCCCACTGAGTTCAACAGTGCAGGATCAAGCCTTAGGCATGAGGCAGTAGGGTCAGGTACTCTGGTATGTCTTATTCCAATTCATTCATCACTGCAGAAATTTTGCAGCCAATTTGTCCTATAAAAGACACCACAACTTTTCTTTCCATGGTTTCCCTCCCCCCATGTATTTGGATACCGCTGATTTTGGTTCCTGTAGTTTATTTCCTGATGCTTCTCCTGGTGGACGAGGTTGTGGTCAGGGTGTAGGACTTGGAACCACCCCCAGAGGAGAAGCCAAGTGCCCCGCTGCCCATGCCTGCTCCCAGGCTAAGGCCTCCTCCAATTCCTCCTCCCAGGAATCCACTGGAGCTGGAATAGCCGCCTCCACCGCTGGAGCTGACCACAGCTATGGCACACAAAGAAGCAAACCAAGCGTGAGCACCAGGGAACTTCAAATCCAGCATGGCACCCTCACAAAAAGGGCATTTTTAAATTGCAGCAGTTAAATGAAAACTCTCCACAACCTCCTGCAAAAGCCCAGGTCCCAATACTACTCTCTTATCACAGTCTGCCCCAGTGTGTTTATCTCTGTGCTAAGTCAGATGCATGCAAGGATTGCACAGCCCATTCCCCTCTCCATCACTCAAGTCTGGCAGGGGGCCACCTATCAGAAGCTAGCAGGTGGAGGAAAAGCAGAGTGACTGGTTTAGAGAGCTATAGATAACGTCTCTGAGACACCAGCATCTGTCCAATGTCCAGGCAAGATGAGTACTCAACACTTCCCAAGCCAGAAAGACACCCTCCAACACCATCTTTGCACCCCCTTCCGTTCCAGGCAATTGCCTTTTCCTGCTAGCACACTTTTTCCCCCTCTGTACAAAAATAGGAGGAAAGAAACAAAAGGATTATAATTCCCCCCCAAGTTAAATTTTATACAGAAAATTTAGGGGTGAAGTCTGCTATGGAGTCAACAGCACCATCAACGTCAGACCCAGGGGCTCTCGTTTAAGCAGGGGTTTGACTTTTCAGAAGCCAAGGCAGGACACCACAAGGTTCCTGCAGGCAGACCCAGCTAGTCCCATCTGCATTCATTTTCCACAGGCATATGGCTATGTCTAACTACTGTACATTATAAAATCAACTCACAGATGTTGACGTTGCCAAATCCATCGCCAGCCAACCTGTTGGAGAAGAAAAACACAAAAGCAAAAAAGGAAGAGGACAGGTTATACTCTGCATTACTCAGTATTCCCTTAGGGCCTCAGCTTTGAGGATGAAGACAATGGAGGTGAGTTGTTATTGCTGCTGTAAATAATTCAGACAAGATAAGTGTGCCATCCAGCGCTTTGTTCTGGCCCTACATTTACAAGCTCTGTTATCACCGGGGGGGGTGATAGAGTAACATCGGCTCTGTCCTAATTCTATGGGGATCTGACCTGCTTGGAAGTTTTCTGTCACAACATTGAAAGTACAGTGGCCAATAGCTTTTTTTTGTTTGCACATTTTCATGAAAAGCATGCAATTTCCCCCAGAACTTTCCAGTTCGCCTATTCTGCCAAAGAATTTTCCAGGGCCAAAAATCAATTTAAAATGCAAGATTTTATCTTCTATATTCCCTTCAGAAATTGGAATTGGGCCCTTGTAATGGCCCCATGATGCAAACCAAGGGAAATTCAGAAGAGTGATGGGCTGGGTTTCTCACAGTCTTGTATTTATCACCTGCCTTCAGATCTGTGCACAAAGTGGATGAGAAGCACCATCACACGGCTCTTGAAACATCACCCGTTTGTGGCACCGAGGGAGATGGGCGATGCATACCAGAGGACTGGGTTCTCTCCCGAACAGCCCTGCAGTGTGCAGGACTGAACCCTTCCTCACGGAAAACCCACAGGCTGCACCCACCTGCTCTCCTCTCCCTCCAGTAGCTTCCTGTAGGTAGCAATCTCAATGTCCAGGGCCAGCTTGACGTTCATGAGCTCCTGGTATTCCCGGAGCTGCCGAGCCATGTCCTGCTTTGCCTTCTGCAGAGCTGCCTCCAGTTCCTCCAGCTTTGCCTTGGCGTCTTTGATGGCCAATTCACCACGTTCCTCAGCTTCGGAAATGGCTGCCTCCAGCTTGGCACGCTGTGGGGACAGAGCAGGGGATGTCAGTGGGCATCTCACCTCCTCAGTGGAGGAGTCTCCTGCCTACAGACTTCTGGCAGCTACAGACCAGCCCATCTCTATAGCCCTGTAGAGCATTGCAGTCACTTGCCCTAATTTAGATCCTGAGACATTCATGCCTACATAAATTCTCTGGTCATCAGAGAGATCAGCTTGCAAAGGAAGGTCATCTCATCCCAAGGCGTGTTCTTCCAAAAGAAATAGGGTCAGATTAATTGCCTATCCACTGGCTACACTCTCAGAAGACTTCCAGGTGACCCTCAGCAACTCAGCCCACCCTCATTGCACACAGCAGCACAGCACGTAGGGTTAATGCAGGCTCAGGTTTTCTCTCCTGCTATGTCCCAGAGCTTGTCCAGAGCCAGCTGGGCTCCAGCAAGCTTTGACGAGAGGCAAGCATGGGCTCGAGCAGACCTGCACTTAAAACACCACAGACCTACCCCAAAAACATTCCTGTGGGGCCACATCAAGCTAGGAGTCTAAGGCACCCACAGCGGTGCCCCCTGCATCTCCAAACAGAGCCAGTGTTTGGCAGGAAGGGATCACAGTGAACACATGTGCTTTGTACTCTCATTCATTATTCAAGGGAGCTGCACTAGGTCAGCTATTTGCTTGTAAACGTGTGTTGAAGCCTCCCTGCCCTGAAACCAAATAAATAGAACTAGATGAATCACAATGGCTTATCTCCAGCTACACATGCCCTGGTTTTTCCACAGCCAGGATTCAGCCCTGAACATAGTCTGAACCACTCTCTGGTTGACTTTCACCATCCGTTTGATAAAGGGATAACCGCCCCTGGAGAAAGCAAACAGAACTCCCATATAGGTGAAAAACCCTTTTATGTGCCCCGACATGGTGTTCCCTTCTGCAGAAAGGGAGTGGACATAGACCCAAGAAGTGAGAGGGCACAAGGAACGTGTGCGGTGGGGTAGGATGCTGCACACAGCCTGCCCTTTGGAAACGGCTCTGCAACACTCCCCATCTGCCCTTCCAGGTCCCTTGTGGACTCGTTCTCTCCTACAGTTCAGCTCCCTCTCAGCACTATACTTTCCATTACACAGTTTATCCCTACTGCAGAACTGCCATGGTCCCATCTTTCAGTGTGAGCATCGCAGCTATCCCCAAACTGCTTCTAATAGATGCTCTGTTAAGCCCTGACCCTTAATACACTCGCTAAACTCACTGCTCTGCAGCAGGAAAACAAGGGAAGATCCTCACCTGGGCTTTTGCATTTTCAATTTCACTCTGCAGCCTCTGGATCATGCGGTTTATCTCCGAGATCTCATTCTTTGTGTTGCGCAGGTCATCTCCGTGTTTCCCAGCAGTGACCTGCAGTGCCTCGTACTGCGACGGACAACAATATAACCAAAAAGAATGGAGTCAGGCTAGCAGCCAGCAAGCCGGCTGCAATCTCTCCACACTTATCACGCACAGGATACACATAGTAACAGAAGCTATTACTGCCCTTCTCTCTCCTATAACTCACCTTGCTCTGGTACCAGGACTCAGCCTCCGCTCGGCTCCTGTTGGCAATCTCCTCATACTGTGCTTTAACCTCCGCAATGATGCTGTCCAGGTCCAGGTTGCGACTGTTGTCCATGGACAGGACCACAGAGGTGTCAGAGATCTGGGCCTGCAGCTCACGAAGTTCCTGCCAGTTACATTAAAAACAATATTATTAACCACTGATTTTTAAGGCTCTCTCTTTTGGAAGCCAATTAAGAGAGCCTGAGAAGAAAAGGAAAGGCAGGCAGACAAGAAGAATTCATCAAAACAATCATTAATTAGAAGGAAACCTACTGAATCACATCGACCTCGCATAGCGCAAAGTAACAAACAGTAGCAGAAATGGAGCTAGTTCTTATTCTCAAATTCACCCACTGCTTGGCAGCAAGGTTAGTTTACCCTACTCTTGAGACAAGATCACACCACGAAACGCTAATCCAAGAAGCCTGAGCATCAGCTTCACGACAAAGTGAGGGCCAAGTTCCACCATCTCACCCAAAGATGCAATGTGTCTGGTCGCACGTGAGAATGCACAGAACCTGCACTTGACTTTCAGGCTTACTCATGCATATGCAAGGAAGACTCACAATCCCCCCATCACCATTCTCATCCCTGGGAATGGCATGTTAATTTTCCCAGTCACCATTTGCCATTTTTCATCCACTGGTGATGCTACAGTGCAGCAGTCACAGTAAGCAGAAAGAACCTTACCGCTTCATAGAGAGACCTCAGGAAGTTAATCTCATCTGTCAGTGCATCCACCTTGGCCTCCAGCTCTACTTTGTTCATGTAGGCAGCATCCACATCCTAAAAAAACAGTGATAATCCATGACAATTGCAGTAGCTCTGATGACTAAGCCCATACAGCCTTTTATGGCTTCAAAAGCAGCAATGAGCCCATCAAATTCCCCCAGGTCATCTGTTTTCCATGTCCTCCAATGCCCCACCATGACCTAAAATCATCTGCCAGTGTACGAAGCTGCTGGCGTGCAGGATCCCATACGTTCTGGAGGGTGCCCTAGGCCACATGCTGAGCTGGACTTGCAAAGTTTGGACAGCAAGGTAGGAGATATACAAGATCCAAGGATTTGGTATTCCTTCCTAGGTTCCTATAGGGGCCTCAGTCCCTATACTGACACAGCCCTTGGCCAGAGGTAAGAGCTGTAATTCTTCACCTGTGGTCTCTAGCCAGAGCTGTAGCAAAGGGAGTGTAGGGACAAAGGAGGTAGAAGGGTTGCAAAAAGGCAAACACATCTGATCGGGCCCAGCTAGTATCTATGGCACTCACCTTCTTGAGCACCACGAACTCGTTCTCTGCTGCTGTGCGCTTGTTGATTTCGTCTTCATATCTGCCAGGAAAAAAAGGGAGCAGTGTGAAGTTAGAGCCTAGGTAAAGGAAAAAATGGCACTGTGAAGAGTTACCCCAATTTCCCCCCTATTTCTCCTTATATCTCCTCTTCTCTCTTATTTCTCACTTCAGCAAAGCCTATGATTTCCCCAAGCCAGCCACGGGCAGATGTTTGCTGACCATTGCAGCAAGTGAATTGTTTGTACAAGACATGCTAGCTGCAGGCCACAGGTCCAGGGGGCTGCTTGGATAAGCTGTTGCCCAGCAGCTGTTCTGGTCCATTCTGCCATGACCACTAACTTGGAAAGCATTTCCTAAACATGTTCTCACACGCTCATTAAAATTTATTACACTTAGGTAGATTCCTGCTCCTTACCCTCACTCATCGACAGCCTAGTGGTGACCTGCAGGATTGTCGTCTATGTCCTGAGGCTCTTGGCTTTTGTACTAGCTCCCTAAGAGAGCAAACACAAATCCAGAAGAGATGCAAACAGATTCAATAAATTAGTCTATGCTCAAAGCATTTGTTAATGTCATTGTCACTCTGCACTTCTGTATTCCAGACGTTTGAGAACGTTTTGCAGGCGGTGATCACATGTCACTGTGCTGGTAAGAGCTAAGTGTAATTATTCTCATTCTGTACAGAGCGGTTATGCTTCAAAGCCCCACCAGCTTCTAATTTAGGCTACATCCATTCTTTGGATGTTCACCTTTAGATGCGATGAACTAGATCCTCAGCAGATATAAATCATGTTCCACTGAACTGACTGGAGCCTCATTGATTTAGACCACTTGCAAGCCTGGATCTCAAAGCCTGATTTTCAGCGTTCTGAGTACTGCCAACCTGCTGAAGCGAACAGCAAGAATCTGCTAGATGAATCCTGTCTGACAAACATCCAAGAAACAGCGTGGTAGGGAAGAGAATACAAACCACAGTACTTGAAACACAGTGCTCCAACCAGCCAAGTTACCTTGTACCTTTCTTATTCACAGAGCAAAGTCAAGCAGGGGTCATTAGAACAGGAACCACTTTCTCCAGCTGTTTCAGAATTGCTGTTGCTAAAGCTACAACATGGCTCTGTTTATTTACACAGTCCATGCATGACTAGCACTGTAATTTCTTGCCTTCCGGAGAGCAAGCTACTTTGATTTCAACAGTCTTCATGTAAACTCCCACTCTGCTCTGCACTGGAAGCTTGCTGTGCTAGTATAAATAGATGTTGCCCCTTTGAGGTCAAGGTAACTGCACCTAGTACTATTGCAGAGTAATATACCACGTGATTGTACTGCGTATGTGCAGTCTGAGGCATAGAGCAGAAGGGAATCAAGAGTCTGCTCACCAGCACAGATAATCAGAGGACTTGTTCTAGAATGGTTTGTCAAACTCCTCATTTCCTCAGGGAACTTCCACCGAGCCAGCCAACAAACTGGCAAATTGCTCAATATTCACCGTTAACTCTCAAGGCGCCCCCAGGAAGCTCAGTGCGCTATCGCACTTTGGCATGCCCCGAGCCAAGCCACGTGGACAGTGCGGACACGGTGCGTTCCCACCCTTGCTTACTTTGAACCACACCCTTAGTCAATCCAGGTACTGAACCAGGGGCTGAATCTGATCCCTGGGAGCCTCGTGCAACTACAGAGCAAGTCTCCCCCCTACCCTGGGGGTCAATAGTGAATTACTAGGTAAAATGGGTATATGGGTATACGCAAGAGAGACAACAGACCCGTAAAGGGCTAGACATGTTTTTGGCATTCAGTTTAGGAGACCAGATTTTCTTCACGCTCAATGGGGAGAAGCAGGTCCAAACTTCTGTTACTGAATCTTTCCTCCCTCTGCAACACTAGGAGCTGAGGCTCCTAAATCCTATCTGCCTTCCCTTCCTTCACTAGAAAAGGGGTTTAACTTCCCAGCACAGACTCCTAAGCTAGAGGAATAAATATCACCTCTGCACCTCTTTGCGTTCACATGACGTAGGGCCATGAATTCTCTGAGTGCCAACCAGCTCCTTGCTGTTGTTTTGCAGAGAAGAAAGGTGGATTTACACCAGCTGTGGATGAGCACGCAGCAGAGAGAACCGAGCAGGACTGGGGGAAACATCATTCCCTTGCACCTACTTTAGAATTACCGTGTACTGACTTTCCCTCAGCACACCCTGGGGATTATCAGATCTGTTTGTTTTCAGTTCCTGCCTGATCCAGAAAAGCATTCCTCTGTACAGCTGGGTTGGGCACAGGCTGGGACAAAGGCTATTTTCTTCATGGGACTCCTCCCAAGTGACATGATTAGGACAGAAAAGCCCCTTAAAAATTGCAAGTCACCTGCTCCATTACCTACACATCGAATAAGCAGCAGTTCACCCACCAGCTGCCGACCTGTAGAGCTCCCAAGTGGTCCCTATGAACCTGAACGGGCATGTGCAACCCAAAGTACAAAGTCGTTCCTGAGGAGGCTTCAGTGCAAAGTCAAGAGGACGGAGCCACTGAAAACCATGAGGGAACAACGTGCCAGGAACAACGAGCAACTACTGAACTGCTTGCAGCCTTCTCTTCTGCCTAGGGTGGCTACAGCCATGTCCCTCACTTGGGGTGAGATTCACCTCTCCTAAAGGACCATTTAAAAGTGGGATGCAGCCAGTTTGAGTGGAACAGGTGGCCCAGCGGTGAAAGGTGAGCCCAATGACGATTCAATTCACCTTTCAACGACTAGAAGAATCCAGGCAGCTTCCCTGGACTATACACCTTAAACAACTATACACCTAAACAATTCACGGCTGGCATGAATTTCCTCCCTAGCAGGAAAGCTGGGGACATCTTTGCCAAGCTATCAACCAACTTGTCAGCATACTGCACCGTTAGATGGGAAGTTTATACGTTACTTGTTCTTGAAATCCTCAACAAGATCCTGCATGTTCTTCAGTTCACCCTCCAAACGCCCTTTGTCATTCAACAACCCATCCAGCTGATGCCGCAGGTTGTTGATGTATGCCTCAAACATGGGAGCAATGTTACTTCGGGAGGTCTTCTGGTCCTGGAGGAGGCTCCATTTGGTCTCCAGCATTTTGTTTTGCTGCTCCAGGAACCGGACCTGAAAACCAACCAAGGGGTCATTTGTGAAAGTGTAAGGAGTGGGGGTGGGGGGGAGTTTGGATGTGGGGGAAGGATGGGCTGGGGAAGGTATCTGAAGAATTCAGTTTGCTCAGAAGCAGCACCTAGATTCTGGAGGGTGATAAAGACCACGTGGGAGCATTACTACTCTGGGGCTCAGCTTATGACAGGTGAGGCTTTGTAGTTAACTAAAGATAAGCAGATTCTGCTTGCATGACACTTGAGAAAAGCCATCCAAGGACTTCAAAGACAGCCTATTACATGAACTCCAGGTCTGGATTCCAGGCATTTTGAGGATGCCCGAGCTCAAATTTGCAGCACAGGACATAGGATGAATTGGTTCAGAATAGCAAAGCCACAGATGCATAGGTCAATGGCAACAAACACAGCAAACCCCAAATTATATCAAGATCTGTTCTACTGGATCAAATCCTCCCCCAAAGGCCCCCTCCTCCCTGAATTTGGTGGTGTTATGCTTGGATTCAGATTTCATCCTTATTGCCCATAAAATGGGTGCAGGCAGGCTTTATCAGCCAAATGAAGAGGGAGCAAAGCTGGCGTAAAAGGGAAATTATCCTTTGTTGAAGGCAACACAAGCAGGGCTTTAATAGGAGTTATCGGCCTGGAATAGTTAAAACACATCAATGCTCTTGAGGACCCGATCCTGAGCCCATTTTTGCCACTGAGAATCTCCCACCGAGTTAAGTTAGCTTTGGGCCAGGCCTGCCTTTAAGAAGCACCCACAGAGCCATCAGCTTTTCCAACACCTCACCTTGTCGATGAAGGAGGCGAATCTGTTGTTGAGGGTCTTGATCTGCTCCTTCTCCTCCTTCCGCACCCTCTGGATATTGGGGTCGATCTCTAGATTCAGGGGTGTCAGGAGACTCTGGTTGATGTTGACCTCCTGAATGCCTGCGGGGCCGAATCCCATGCCGAGCCCGCCGCCATAGCCGTATCCAGAGTGAACGCTGTAGGAGCTGCCACCTCTACCGAGGGAGATCCGATTGCTGGCAGAGCCGCGGGTATAGAGGCCGGGGCGGCCAAAGCCACCTGCCCTGCCAAAGCTGGCACCCCCTCCTCCACGAGTTGAGGAGACAGTGCTGACTCGCATTTGGCTGACCCCTGGGACAGCCACAGAGCGAGAGCTGAAACTCACAGACCGGGACATGGCTGCTCTGAGGATGTTTTCCGTATCCCTCACCCTTAAAAAGCTTGGGGAAGCTGCGCTGGAGACCCAGAGAATGAGCGAGTTCTCCGGACTCGCCTCTCCTTTTATCCGTTAGAAGAGCTGGGCTTGGCTGGAGGGCAAAAGAGGGATCGTTTTACTGCCTCAGAGAGCTAGGTGTGCCTGGCAGCCTTCCCACCCACCCCCAACCTGCTGGACTCCAGTGAGCGAGAAGGGAAGGGCCCAGGAAGGCGGACACGGCACACCTGGCGCGCTGTGTCCCTGTGCTCAGACCTGGCTTTGTTCTGTACCTCCCTTCGCCTCCGCCACATGTGCAGCTGAGGGACATCAAGCACGGGTGCTCCTGCCCTCGCCTGCTCTGGGCTCCCTTGGCAGAGAATTAAAATGGGACGGGCCTGATTGCCACTTTCTCATAGCTTCTCCCTTCCTCCCTGCTTGAGTAAAAGGGTGTTATAACAAGAAGAGGGAATATGCACCAATTTTTAAAGTCTTCACTGCAGAGCAGGCAGCTCCCCCCCTGCAATAGCAGAAAGGAGATAAGAGGCCTCAGCTTCAGGCACAGCCCACTTAACATAAATCAAAGCCAGCTGCAGCCTCTGAGGCTAGCAGAGTCCAGCTTTGTCTTAGCTTTTGCTTTCTCTTTCCTGCTAGCACTAAAGTAAAGGCATTTTTAGGTGTGTTGCACCCTGCATGTGGAAATACCCAGTGTGCCAGTCCAGACTCAAAAGGAGACAGGTCAGATTGCTGCCTAAACTTCTGGGCACCTATGCAGAAGAGGCAGAGAGACAAAAGATAGTTTCACGGGCTTTCCACTATTTTTGAATAGCTGCAAAGGGATCATTCCCTTTATTATCAGGTCATAAACTCTGCCACGAGATTTCAAAGTCTGGCCTGCACTAAGGCGGCAATCCAGCCAAGGAAAATATAGTCCTGCTTTCAGATAAACCACCATAAAGCCAAAGCTGTTCTCAGCAGCCTTGGAGGGAACACCAGTTCAGCAGTAAGAGAACTGAACTTCACCCTGATTTGCACTATCAAGAGTCAGATCCACAAAAAGCCATTTTCTAATCTTAATTACCACTGAGTAGCACCACTGATTTTAGGCGAGGATGAGTCTATCTTCCATTCAACGTTTGAGCTTTCTGCCCTGTGTCAGTAGCAACCTAGTCAATGCAGTAGGGACTCAAAAAGTCTAATTTACCATGCTTCCTGGGTCTGCCCCAGCCACTGCAGTGTTGTAGTTAGCCAGTTTAGATCCTCCACATTGATTACAATCCCCCCTACAATTCATTGTTTAAATCCAGCTTCGAGTCAGGTTAAGTCAGGATTCAGCAATTCCAGAGCGTTTCAGGTAGAGCTTTCCTTACGTTGCTGAGATGCCATGGTAACGTTGCATACTTTCACAACTGGATGGACTAACGAATGTCTCCAAGCCCATGCAAACGTCTCCTAGGGATTCAGGTTTGGTAACACAGAAGATAGCGCGAACCGGTTAAACACCTTCTTGGGGAAGCAAATGCTTTGACATTGTGAATATTCTGCTTGGTGTCACAACTGCCAGTCCCTGCATACCTGAGAACAGCCCACCGCTGTGCACCGACGCTCACAAAGGTGACAGAAGAGTCACCAACGAGAAATCGCTCCGTAAATCCTCCAGTACACGCACTGAGTCCTCAGCTCCAGTCCAGAAAGTGCTAAAACATCAAATACAGCCATGTCCCAGTGGAAGACAATGAAAACTCCAGGCAATCAGAGCTGTGTGCTAAGAACATGTTATTATGCTGATCAATATCACTCTGGTGTTTCCTCACCCTCTCATCCATCTCCCCTGGGCTATCTCTTGCTGTGCGTTTAGATTGCAGTGTTTGGATTGAAAGCTTGCTGGGGTAGGGAGTGCCCTTAGGTTTTGTGTTTGCACAGTGCAGTCCTGGTTTGTGATTACCACTCCAAAGTGCTTTGCTAGTGAGTCATTAAAATTAATTAGTGTCTTAACTACAAGCAGTGTTTTGGTGGTCTCATGAGCAGGGTATCACAAGAGCACTGCAAGCTGGAATTCGTAGGACCTTCAGAGAATGACACTGTCAAGCTGTTACTCTCAGGAATAACACCTAAACACCGTGCCAACACAGCGGCACTTCCACCAATGCCGGCGGACACACAATTGTCATTTTCAGTATTTTTCCTGTGCCGTGATGACAGCTCCCCCTTTCAGGATCTGGCTGATCTAAGCCTCCTAATAAAAGTTTCCAACTTATCAACAACTCTTAAGAATACAGGAAGGCTAGTCCTTTTAAGCTTCAATGAGAGTGAATTCATTCTCTTACTGTCACAAACGCAGGCGCCGTGTGTCAATAATGTGCTCTAGTAAGGCCCAAATGTGACTCACATCAAGATGGAGTGGTTATCTAACATAAAGGATTATTGATATGTTCAGCCCTACTTCCTGTGTCACTCAGGCTATAAAACTCAATGCAGTGGCACATCCCTTGGGCTTTATGTCTCTTTTTACAAGAAAGTAGCTTTTCTAGAAAGGCAAGTGCTGGTGACTTGAAGGATGCCAGGAGACGAGGATATCCATTATTTCTGCTGGTCACTTCTTCCAAGGGTTGGTCGTCCTTCCTGCTAAAAGGGACCTTACGTCTCACTTCCCAGGAGCTTAAAAAGGCTCTCTTGGACCTGGTATGACTCCTCTGTTAATTCATTGCCGTCTTGGTCTTACGTTGGATAAACCGAACAGATTGAGAGCCTCACATTTCATAAGGAAGTGGCTTTTTTGGAGACCTCTGATCATTTCTGTGGACTCGCTGCACCAATGCCCTTGGCAAAGCATGGAGCTGTGCACCAGCACCGCTCGCACTGCAACTTCACTCGGTTTTATGCCCGTAGACTGCATTTGCTCTCCACTCTTACAGCCCTGCAGGATTAACAGCCTCAGGTCAAAACCAGCACTAAAAGTCGGTATGACAGGTCTGACCTAAACTACAGGCCTCTACATCTCCCAGCTACAGCGCTCCTTTTTGCAAGGAAGCACAGCAGCCTTCGTATTGAGGGCAGGCATCATGGGGACCCACCAGGAATAGCCGTGGCTCTGCTCTCTTGCCTGACCACTCCTAGGAAGCTGCCTGCTGTGTTTTGCGTGATGCACTGCTAGAAAATACCTACTTGGGCTCAGAAATGGCGATGCCCGTCATGTTAGCGGGAGCCCCCGAAAGGCACCGCTCTAAACCCAGACATATTTAGGTAACAGCACAGAACAACCTGCCAGTGCCTCCAAGAGCTCCTCGGATCCTCAAAGGAGCTGCTGCCTCTGCAGCCACCCCTCGGCATCTCCAGCTGCTCAAACACTGTCAGGCTGCTCACCTGACCCCTCTGGATCAAGCCCCACGTTTGCACAAGGCAAATTTACACCCTGTATCGCAGCTGCTGCCATAGGAACCTTTGCACGTTGCCATAAGCTACTGGACAAACAAGCAAACCCAGCTCATGCAGACAGGCTGTTGGGGATCCTACCTCGGACACCGAGCGTGGCACGTCACAAGCTCATCTGGAAAACCTCTCGTTGCGACTGACACGCGGCTGAGGCATTCAAGCTATGGACTTTCCCCTCTCTCCAGCCTCCTTTGCATATACCAAAAGCTGGGTTTTTTTCTCCTCTGCCCCAAATTGCAAGACCTTACAATTACAAGAAATCATGAAGGAATAACTATAAATAAATATAATTATAATTATGTATAATTATATGGATAAGTTTTACATGAAAGCTGAGAGTCATTCCTGTTTGCAGCTAAAGCCTTAAGGAAAAACAAACAAATTAAAACATCACCATTTCCAGAGCTGGAATGAAGTTTCCAGACCTGTTAATGCAGGGCTCAGCTTTTCTGGAAACCACGTGTCTCAAGAAGAGAAAGGAAAATCCAAATTCTGCCCCTTGCCCCAAGTCACAAGTGACTTTCGAGTCCAGCCCAGTGCATTTATTGGTCTGTTCCAACTCATAACAGCTGATCTGATATAACCCTTGTGGATACGCACGCATTACAGAACGGGCAAGCTGGGTCAGATCAGGGCCCATCTATCTCGAACCAGTAACGCACACTGGCTAGCACAAAAAACACAGGGCAATTACAAAGCGATCCTTCCTCTGGCCTCTTTTCTCCAACCATCAGCCGTTTCACCTTTCCCCACTTCGGAGCTTGCATCTTGGCCAGCACATTTAACTGCTGTGGATGGACCTCTCTCCCCATTACTGGTCCACTCCCTGGTTAAAATCATCCCCACTCACTCCAGCCTGTGGCAATGAGATTATCCCCAGCACAAGATGATATTCCCATGTTCCTGTTTTAATTACCTAAATTGCAAACTAATGCGCCTCATTCAGAGCAGAGAGAAACCATGGGATCGTTTCACTGCAGTGAAGGGACCTTTCCTAGGAATCGAGCTAAGCTAGTGCAATAATACTCAGCATTGCTCAGGATTTTGCGGCCTGATTCATGCCTAGGTTAAAGGGTAATGTCACTGTAATTCCAGTGAAGTGAATGGAGCAAGGAAGGAGAGAAATTATCTTACACAGTCATCAGTCAGAAACGCTCTTATCAAAATTTCTTCTCATCTCACATAACTCAGGCAGGGTCAATGGCACATGCCGCTTTACACTAACTGATCCTACACCTCCAACAGTCCAGAAAGGATTTTGAGGGTCTTACACCCCCAAAACACTAAGTATCCAACATGACAGCAATCCTAAATTACAGCAATCCTTGTTTGCATAGCCCCAGCGCAACGTAATTGCAGACAATGCCCGGGTTTCTTAATAGCTACCACAATAAAAAAATAAAATTAAAAAAAAGAAAAAACAAACACACACACCACACTGTCTTAATCCTAGTGACTACACGGGAACAAAGCTACTCTGCAACCTCTGTCCCCGACTGCAAATTCCAAGATCTTCTGCAAAATCCAAACTCTCCAAACTGATTTGTTGCTTCATAAATGCTCCTAAGGAAGAAAAACAGCAATGAAGAAAAATGCAGAACTGTATGCAATGTTTTCTCTGGCCTTGGAGAGATAAAGCCTGTCTCATAGACAGGAAGTAGGTGGGAGAGGCAGGAGTAAATTCCATATCACCTAGCTCCACTCCCTAAGCACAAAGCTACATATTGCCGAACAAGTGGCTGTGAATATTCATTTGAAACTTTACGCTATGTGATTGCAAAAACTCCATCCGATTCAGCATAAACTGTCCCATCTCCTAAGGAGTGTGGTTTGTACCAGCCAAGGATATGGTTTCCAGAGATAGCAACTCCCACACAAGCACTGGAGATGTCTGCAGCGAGCCTGTTCCCCACGTGGAATTGCAGGAATTTAACACATTCAACATGGGCATGTAAAAATAGGCTCAGAAGTCCCAGTGGCCTTCTCTAAACAGCCCAACTTGTGAACATCCAAACAATTTGTGAAAGGCTGAGAAGCAGCAGTTAGTCAGACAAGGAGGATACACTGGAAAAAGCTATGATCTCCTCACAGACACATCACAGTCAGAAGAAAAAGGAGAAATCAGATGATTAATTTATTATGAGCATTTCCTTATGGCTACGATAACCGAACTCAGATGACAATCTCTGTTTACAGAAGGGCCAATTCAGCTCACAGAGGCAAGTGATTTGTTGCAAGCACAGGAACAGAGAAACGAGCAGAATCCAGCTCCCTTGATTTGGGCTTCCGTATTTCCCAGACGCCTGCTGCTGTTCCAGGCGGGTATTTTATCTCAGCAGTGAGACATGTCAGCTTCTGCTCAGCCAGCAAAACGTCTGCTTGAATATAAACCAAGTACGACAGTCGGCCCCTTCCAAACAAAAGCTGGAAGCAAGGTGCAACCCCCCCCCACCTTTCCTCTGCTCCCTTCACAGTCTGGGGATTGGTATCAGTAAGAGCAAAGGGCAGGATTGCAGCCTTGGACCTGGTGGGGAGCCAAGCCCTGGGTGCTGATGGAAACAGAGGGTGTGGTTGGTCTTTGTCAGGCACCACCATAATCAATACATTCAGCGATGACAATAATAATTATTTCAATTGTCTCGCTCCTACCCACATCGCCTATGACATGAACGACTTCTTCCAGGTCTCCCGCCTCCCTCCTGCCACCCCCAAGCTGCTGCCAGAGCCGTCAGCGCTCCCTGCAGCAGGTTTCCACCTTAAAGGAGGACAGCGTGGGAAGAGAGAGGCTTGGGCTGCAGGGAGGAAAACTAGAAAAGGAAAAATATTCCGCTCGTTGCAGGATTCAGAGCAGTTCTCCGTGATGCTGAACGATGCTTCGTTCCCGCACCCCACGACCTGCGCAGCCCCCCGGCCACAGCCAGCGGGCTGAACGTGGCTTTAGCAAGTACAAACAAAGGCACATAGTCCTGCCTCGAAGGGCCAGAATTTCCAGTTTACTACGTTTGCCAGGCATGCACCAAGCATGAATCAGTAGCGCAGAATTTGACCCCAGGATTTAAAATCAGGATGAATCAGACCAGGTACCAGATTAAACAGGGATTACAGACTTGGTCCTGGGCTTAGGGCTGGCGCTGACACGCGTGCGGATGCGTGGGGCCTTCAGAGACACCCAGCCTGGCCACACCACATCATAACTGTCCTTGTAAAGGAGACGTAAGCGAAGCCAGCGGACAACTCCTCTCTATGCCTGAAGGTGCTGACTTGGGCCCGTGCCCACGGAGCACGCGCAGCGCAAACCTGCCGAGCGATGCTACAGGGCATGCTGTTCGGTGCCAAAGTCTCCTTTGCAGACACGTAGGGACGGCAAACGGCACCCGACCATGCTGCTAAGAGGATTTACCTGGCCACAGCGGTAAGCCAGCGCCAAAAAGGCATGCACACAACCGTCCCCTTGCAGTAATCCTAGCACTGCCCAGTGGCCAAGCCTGCTATGCCCAGCACCTCTGGGCCCCGGCTCGGAAGGGCTGGGTTGCCTCATTTGCAAAGTATATTGGTGTGGAAGCAGCATGACAAACTGGCAAAAGCAAAGCTGTGGCAGGACGCAGGCACGGCCAAACACCCACTTTGCATTTATTCCAGAACAGTGTTGGTGGCACACGGTGAAAAGAAGCAGAGGCTCAGAACCACTTGGCCTAAATGGCAGCGGAAAAAAACAAAACCAAAAAAACAACCAACCAAACAAAAAAAACCCCACACAAATCAGACCTTCTGCCTGGTGATTTGAGCACATGGCCTCTGAAAAGAATAGGCACAATACAGCTGCAAGCGAGGAGGCAGCTACAGGCACTGGAGAAAGCAGCTTAAGGACTTCCTATCCTGATCTTCCCTCTCCCCCTATCCCACAGCTCATCATCCCCAATTTTTGCTAACACAGCTGTCTCACTAGCCAGCACCTCCATCCCCTTCTCCTATTCCCACCCTCATCACACGGCCTCATAAATGTCCATGCACTCTCATTAAGAGCTAAAGGTTTGCTAAAGGTACCCACTGAAACAATACATCATTATTTATGCTGCAAGCCATGTGAGAATGACACATAATGCAGAAACAAAATGCCTAATTAAGAGTGACACAAGAGTTAAAGTGACACAAGAGCGCAGAGCCAGACTGTAATCGGAGCGGTGGATCCTGGGTGCCATCTACAATGATGGAAGTTACTTGCTCAAGTGTGGATTGAGAAACACTCAGCAGTAAATCCTTGCACTCTGTGCCTCCTTTAAGCTCCTTTTGCAAGTGCGGACACTAGGAAAGGAAAAGCCATTTGCCCAAAGTAGCACAATCGATCATTAGAAAGGGGGCTTGCAACCTCCAAACTCCCAGCAAGGCTCAGAAAAACAGTAAAAAGGCTCCTCTAGCAGGATTACCAGTTCCGCCTATAAATGGATCTGGGGGTGAACAGCCAGCTAGAAGAGAGGTTGACACGAGGACAAGTAGGGATGGACAGCCAACAACATATTGCGGTTCATAAGCTCTGGGACAGCCTGCAAGTGAAGAAAAAAAAAAAAAAAAGGCTTTTAAAATGAAACAAAGTCCCTCTATCCTTTATTTTGGGGATGATATGATGCGGCTGCCTGGGAGAGGAGGGGGGAGAGATCTAGTGCCCAGCAGGTGCTTTCCAAGTCCTGTGCACGGGCTGTCTCCCCCTGCTTCCGCACAGTGGGAAGCAGAGGCACCCAAGCAGAAACGAGTGATGTCACCACCACTTAATTACTCCGACTCATTTTGTTCAATACCTGACATTTCCTGGAAACTACATGAGCAACGGATAGGTTGGAAACCTTCCTGATTT